TAGTGTCTTATCACCACGGTGTTCTGAATAGAGTAAATGCTGCTCACTGAGAGGGAGAACTACTGAATGAGAACCAGCCTACCATGTTTAGTTAGTATTTTACAAGAGAACTTAGGTTTTGCTTATATAGCTTTATCTTTTACTCCCCAGCATGTTTATCCACTCTGAAAACAAATTCCCAGACCTCCTGGAATGTGGCCCTATCTGTCCCCGACCAAGGCTTTCCATGAGAGTTACATGCTACAGAATAATTAAACCATTGACCAACTGCTGTTACTATGGGGCAAAAGAATTTTTTATAGGAACCAGGCCTGTGCTCTGCAATGTACTTATCTTCAGAATGACTGTGAGATGTAATTGCCTCCACAACCAAATTCAGGCTTTTCTTTCAACTTCATTCCATCTTCTCCCACAAACTTTATCAACCCTCCCATCATACCTACAAATGAAAATGTTCACAAGCTATCAACAGTGTCTTCTACAAGATGGTGATGAAGACAGAGATAATTCCACTTTCCCACCATCTACATTTTGTGGATGATCACACACTACAGATAGAGAGGCCACGTACACCCGAATGCTTGATAGAAGTTAAAAAAGTCCTTGTACATGAGAAGGTGGAGAGGATGCAAGATGCAAGATATACTTTCAGTTTTCTACTTTAGTCTTTATGGGAAGAGCATGTCAGAAGCTGACAGCTAACCACGAGAAATTTTAGGACAGGCGTTCATACAACTCTCTGTTTTAAACGCATCAAAGGCTTTTTTCCCCAGTTCTGCTGTCTTTTGTTGTTATTTTTTAAAAGAAGCTGTTTATTGAACCTTGGCATCTGTGACCTTTCTAAGCTTCTGCCCTGGCAGATGGCACAAGCCATCTTTTCTGGAGGGCTTAGAGGGCCATTTCACAGTTTCCGAAGTAGCTGATATGCTTTATTGAATACAAGCCAGAATATGATTTGTACTCCTGCTTTGTGCATAAAAATGTCTCTATAGATATCATACAGTATTTAGTTAATCATCTACATGGTTATAAATCTCCATGTGGAAAAATGCATAAAGGTGAGAAGGGACACTATTTTAAAAGCACAGTCTCGATATCCAGAGAAAGAATGAGATTTAGTGATTGAGTTTACACTCTTAGCATTGCCGCAGCATTAGAGACGCTGTGGGATCTTCAGAAATGAACACTGTGCAAGTGAACAGCTGAGTCATACTAAAATTATAATTAAGAGGGATAGTTGTGATTATGAACAGAGTCGTAACTGATTTTGATACCTGCTATTTGACTCTCTTACATCTCTATGCCTTCTGTAACACAGTCATAACCAAATTTCCCTTTCCTTATAATTTCATTTGTCTAGAGGTCTTGAAAGTAGTTTTAAGGAGAGACTTCTGGGCTACTAAGGACTAGGGGGAAAACAGCAGCAGCTCACACATCATAAAACAGCTGAAGTATTTATTATAATGTAACAAAAGGAAAAACATTTTTCAGCGGGGCTCTTAGAAAAAGTTACAGCTAAGTGTCCAACATATTTACCAAAAACAGGTATTATGAGGAATTATGAAGAAATTAATAAGAAGTAAGTAACAAAGGTAATACAGCTGATGGGTAGTCTACGATCAAGAAAGTGATCAAGTAACTAAATCCATCTGTAGTTATATCAAAATCATCTGTATTCAGTACAGTGAATTTCAAAATAAGCATTGCAAACAGAAGACTGTAATCCACAAAATTCTTATTTTTTTTTCTTGAGGAGATAGACTTGTTTTTTTTGTATTTTTTTATTTAATATTTTCCATGGAGACAAAAGACAAGAGTTTTGTTACACTAAAGCTTTATATTCTATTGCACTACGCATCTGTGGAATCCAGCTTCTCAGATTTATGCTGCAATACTCCCTATTACAGGATTTTAGGCCGAATAAATCAATTTCTTTGTTAATCAATGAACATTCAGGAATCAGACACAAGTATAACTACTCTACGTTTCATCTGCAAAGCCTGAGGTAAGAAGGAAAATGATCTAAATGTAAGATGTGAAACCTTAAATCTGTTCTGAGTGAGCATTAAATCAAAACAAGAACCAAGTGATTAATCATCAGCTTCATGAACTCGCTTGATAAAAAAGCTAGGAAGAACAGTTTCAGAAATAAATGGAAATGGCCAGTCAAGCCAGTATCACGCAATGCACTGAGAAGCACGGCGTTACAAACCATCACAAGTAAGAGGTTTGCTCCAAGATATAAAATAGAATTTTCCTAAATGAAGGAAGCAAATATCTGTTTATGAGACAACAATGAACTTTTTATGGAGTTTCTAATCAGCTTGTTTTCAGCCTATTCTAATAGTATTTAATTCATGCCAGGAGGGTGCATTTGGTGAAAGGCTTGTATTCTGGAGCGCCATAAAAGGAAAAGTTCAAGTATGCTCAGTTTTCATAAAAAAAAATTCATGCTAAAGTCCCAAACCAGTCTTATAACCATCCATTTCTTAATGTCAAACTAAGGAACTCAAGCAGCAACATCAGATTCAGCATAAATCTTTCCTAGAAAATTATTTGCACACATTTGAATTTCATTATAAAGTTTGTAAAGAAAAGACTGTTCCGTATGTAATTATGAGTGTGGTATTTTGTTCTCCTGAGGAGGTAAAATTTAGCTTTTCACATGTTGTAAGGAAACAATAGGCAATAATTCGTTACAATTAAGCTTTAAGTTTTATTGCACCAGTAACCAATGCAAATTAAAGGTAGATTAAGATTTTAACTTATAAATGTATGTTTTCATTAGGAATTTGTACCATTCAACTTTATAAATGATGTCTAGAAGACTTCTCTTGTGCTTTACTAGTAAATTTTTCATTCAACCTCTTCCTTTGAGACTATTTTTGGTCAACTATTTTTGGTGTCTCTTAATTCTCACTTCACTCCATTGTGTTTTGAGTTGTTTCGGGGGAAAGATTCCTTTTTTTTTTTTTCCCGCAGGAAAGAAACTGTTAAGAGTATGCAGCCTTTTTTATAATGCAGAGTGTCACCAAGTAAACAAGTTTCGTGAAACATTATAAAAAACATGCTGATGATTGAAAGTTGGCCATCAATAGCCTGAGTTAAGAGAGCATTAGATAACTTCTCTCCAAGACAGAACTGACTTTCACTGCGCGCTCACTTTAGAGGTCTTTTAGATGCCAGCCACAAAAACAGCAGTCCTGCAGCCCGGCTATTACAAGTGGTTGCCTCTCAAGCTGCGAACTTCAGCCAAGTAAGATAAAGACAACCTGTTCATTATTCAGAAAATCCGACAGGGCTTAGTGCTACAGCAATTCATTCTAGCTAGCAACCCTGCACACGTGACACGCTGGACAAATACTGGATCCCGCCAGAATTTTCTTGGAAAGCTTCAAGTGGCTGGAATGTAAAAGTATCAGTTCAAAACTTTTCATGTATATTGGTTATAAATGACATCATATTTAGTGGTTGCAACATCAACTGGAATAAAAAAGAACAGGGTACCAAGAAATACTGTGCATAAGAGTACGCACACAAAAAAAACACCCTCTTATCAACATAAAATGGCACCAATGATTTGAATTCTAATTAAGGCCAAGGCAAGAAGAGATGGGAAATGCTGGCTGCTTCAATGAGACCATGGAAGGTCCGGTTTCAGTTCCCAGCTGTGCAACTCACTTTCTGAGGACTTCAGTGCTTACGCCTGTCCTGGTAACTATGACATCTTTCTCCTTGCTTCAAATCCTCACAGTAGCTCAGACCAAGAGCTCCATACAGAGTTCAACTTAACTATTCAAAAGGGATAGAATGGATAGGGGCCATTTCAGATGAGCCATGATCACATTTGAGACTTGTATCTTAATGTATTCAAATCCAAAGGCACCTCTCATTTTTCAAGTTTGATTTAAAAAAAAAGAATGAAAACACTGTATGTAGAAACTCTCTAAAAATTCTGAGTTACAAATAAACATTGCTGTCAATATTTAAAAAGAGTGGGAACTTTTAAAAGTATTATTCAAACATGGCTTCATTCTGGCTATTCTACTTATTTTTTTTCTTTTCTTTTGAAAAAGTCTATTAATGTCAAATAGCCAGTCTCATCTTCCAGTCTTCTTTCATGGTCAAAGAAGAAATGTGGTTTTAATTCGTCTAAACAATTTTATCATTTCAGGCATAGTGCTCTTCTACGCTTATTGGCAACTTACTATATTGCATCGATCTTTTCCTCGGATATTTACAGCATAACACTAAAAAGATGAGCAAGGCTAGCCAAGAAAATGACAAAAGAGGTCCTTGCAAATAAAACTTTTGTGCTGTCCTATGGATCACAGTTGAAAACGTGGTAGGCATTAGAAAGAGGGAGTATTTTTAACATCAAGTAATCATAGGTGTCCAGAACACATTCTCTTTTCAGCTGGGCAATCACAGATCTTAATTTCTGTGTTTTTACAGAAAGATTATTCCATAAGGGCATGCTTTATAGCAACAATCAATCCACCTCCATAAAAGTTACAGTACTGCAAATCATTGACGGAAGATGCTGAAGACCTTGGTTCTATCCAACATACAGTAAGAATATGTGTAGGACAAGCCTTCTCTTACAGAACTAAGCTAACCAGAAACCAACTTTCCACATGACAGTTTTGCAGGCTCTTTGCTTTTCTCAGTATACCTGCAACACGATGCTAGAGAGTATAGCACTATGGCACTACATCACCACGTCCCCATAAACAGCAAGACACTGTTTTAGCAACACCCCCACAAAGAAAGAAACAATTTGATGTGGCTTAAGATTTTTCCTTTCATTAAAACAGAGGTCCTGCTGCAGAAGAAACACACTCCTTGAAAGAACTGGTCAAACCCTCTTCCTCCCACTCCCACCCCAAAACCCACTCTCTCAGCAGAAAGCATCACCTTCAATTGTCACATAATTTCCACTGTTAAAAATATGGCAGGATCACCATCATAGAAAAGCATAAAAGAAACAAGGAACATACGATGGACATAGATATTGCTTCTTTTTCCCCTTTCCTTTCTTTGAAGACTTCTCTTTGGAATAGACTTCTTCAACCCATAAGGAGAATGAGACGAAAAAGAAAACTGCTAGTAAGAGCTTCATTTTGAAGATTAAGCTCCAGACTGTGGCAAGAGAAAAGAAAGAGGTTTATGTTAGTAGGGCTGGATATGGCAAATGGGAACACACATGCTTATAAAAAGTTAACAAATGGTTTGGTTTTTTTCTAAAAAAAAGTTTGATCTTAGTTGCCTTGGGAGAGAGAGTCTGTTGAGGTGTATCTCTGATAGAGAACCAATTCAGGCAATTTTCTCAGTCAAGCAGCTTCCCAAAGTTAAGAGAATGACAGTGAGGAAAAGATTTAAGTGCAAGTTTGCTCCAATATGCTTAAGAAATAAACGTGGTGTCCTTCAAAGGCTGCCTACCTCAAAATCCTCAGAAACATGGAAACAGAATTCCTCACCAAAATGTCACACATCAACTATTTTAAACGTGGTTAAATGTGACCAACGAGTCACCTAGCGAGGCAGAGAACTGCAGGCCCTCTACGACCTTGCACAGATAAAATAAGAATCATTTCAACGCTGGTTATGAGAGACAGTGCAAATTCAACGCACAGAACGTGAACATAAATGACTGTTTTGCATGAAGCATTCCCGCTGCAGAGCCGGCACTGGAAGGGCCTTGCAAAGATGACTAAACACAATCTGCAACACTCTCCTTTCCCACGCCGTGTTCATTCCAACATTTAACTTCTCACGGGCAGCAGCACAGACCCCACAGCCCAGGAGCTGAGCCCCTGCTCGGCCAGAGAAGGCCCCACACGACACCCCAGACATTTTCCACTTGTTTCCCATCCCGCAGACGCTTCCCAGGCATTTCCTTGGGCCAGCGGAAGCCTCGTGGATGCCTCAGCACCAGCTGCGTTTTCCACTTTTTCATTTTATTTATTTTGAATTCTTTTGAAGGTCCAGTGGCTGCTTCTCTCTGCCTCCCCCTCATCTCCGGGAGGCACTGGGATTCTTCA